ATTCTTACAGAGACAAAAGAAAGATCACAGGTTTGCTCCTGAGTGATGGATTAGATATGACCTAATAGGTATTTGCCATCTCTTATTTCTGGGACTCTGATCCAAGAACAAACAGCAAGAGAACCATGAAAAATCAGCCCTGTTGGATCTGGAGTTCTGCCTTGACAAGATATAAAGCTCATTCATAGATCTGACTGTGCTCATGAGACTGCAGTTCAACTCCTGCTGCTAGAGCAAGAGGAGGGGGAAGGAAGACAGAAAGGGGTGAGTGGGAAGGAGGTGGAAGATCTGGGTTGTGACTATAATAGCTACAGTAATTAGAGTGTTTCCAAGCTGCTGGAGAAGTCTTCAGAGCAGAGAATGCGGAGGGGCCATGGGGGAGGGGGAAAAACAGGAGGAAGCAAACTACTGAGAATGCTAGGAAAATACAGGGTGCTTTGTGAACAGTTTAAAACAAACAAACACCTGTGATGGCTTCATTTAGGGAAATAGAGAAGTTTATATTCTTCCCCAGAAGTGAAATTATACAAATAATGGCTAGGCTGTTACTCAAAGCTAGGCTACGAACTAGGTGTAAACAGATTCTTGCAAATGTCCCTGTCTCTGCAGTGGTCCACTGTTTGCCTCCCTTTTCCCCGAATCAATCAAAAAAATCAATCTATCCATCCATCTATAATATCCAAATATGTCTCAATCCTTCTAACAAACAGATCTAAGCCTTCACTTCACTTGGAAAAGTGATTTCTGAACTCCAAAAGTTACTATATCTTCTTTCCTGTCAATCAACCATTAATTAATACCCTGTGAATTCAATTAGGTTGCATGTGTGTTATGTGTGCGCATGCCTGTGTTTCAAGCACACGCTTTGTTAGCCTAACACAGAAAATGACTGGAGGACACCAGAGAAGTCACAAAATAAACATCAAGATGCTTGTTTATAAATTTTAGGCTCCACAGCACTGCCACTTATAGTGGCATGAACATGTGAAAGAAAATGAAATCACATTAACAGAAGATGATGATATCCTGGAAGGAAAATCTGGGAATTGCAGAAAACCTCAAAATAGAAAGTCCTCCTCCAAGTTATAGGAAATGCTACACTTGTTTCTAAGATAAATATTTACTTGAGCTACTTCCTTGACATGATGTAGCCCTCTGGTGATGACTTGATTCTAACAGTGATGTTAAACTCAAAGCCAGAAAAAAAGAGTTATAAAGATGTTGGGAGAAACTAAAAATGGAATAAAACAAACAACAGAACAGAGGCAAACTTCATGTAGAGAATTACATTCATAAAATAAAAACACATGTGAAAGTCTTGAGTAAGCCATGTCAGGTAGACTTAACACAAAAAGTCAATTACATCCTTTGCACAAAACCTGCTGTGTATCCTCCCAGTGGGCTAAATCTTTTTCACCACACTAAAAGCAAAGAATTTTCTCCTTCCCTATCCCCCTAATAAACAAGCGCTAGAAACACTGAATTACCATTATTTCCTTCCCATTCACAGGGCATAAAGCCAGAATTCACAGAAATACAATAGGACCGTTTAGGACCACGTCTAAGGCATGCTACTCAGTAACCTAAAAGAAATACAGAGAAGGAAGAATCTCTTCTCTTTATTTCATTATTGCCTCACTAACACACCAGCATCAGGCATTAAGAAATGTGAAACAAAGAAGAATTTCACACATATGAACTGAACCTAAACCACGGAAGACCAAGTATTTTCTTGTCACTGTGGCATGTGATTCTTTAACCACCTGCTCAATAATCCCTCTTCAGCTGCACAGCTGCTGCCAATTCCACATGCCCAGCCAGGCAGGTGCTTTGGTGAATTACCTGTTCCCTAATGAAAAGAGCCCTTCACTGACTCTTACTGGGCCCAGAACATGCCAATCAGCATTGCCTATCTTCATTTTGTCTGTCACAGCCAACTTTTATGAGATATCACAAAGGTATATTTAGTCACTATGTGATTTTGTATTTTGCAAGTTTTTTTTTTTTAAGGAAACTGATTTTTAAAAATCAGGCAGAAGTGAGAATTCAGCTGCTTAAAAGAAAATTTGCCACACAACATAAGGCTGCCTCATCTCAGAGTGGCCCCATCTGCCTGGCAGTATTCCCATTCACGACCAGTTTCCACAAGGGAAATAACAATTGCTTAGGTACCTATGAGCAGGAGAAAGTGGCACTAGAAGATTCTATTGTACCTGGCAGTAATGAGAGAGAAAGCAGAGAACTTCTGGAGACCACACATCATTCCTTTACTTGTTAGGTCTCCACCGCTGAGCCCAGGCAGCGGTATTCTGAGTCAAATAAGTAAGGAGTGGCACTTCCACTTGACGGAGCAATCAGTAAACCCCTCAACAAATTATCCTGTTCCAGTCATTTAGCTGCTATATGCTAATTGCAACATAATTACTACCAGAAGCCAAAATTATGCTTCCATATCCTCACACAAAATAAGCACTAATCTGTCCAGCTATCTAGACCTCTCACAAGGAAACATTTTCTAACAAGGAGCTGGGGGGGAAAAATCCAAAGTGTTCTCTGAAACATGGTCACAATCAGAAGGCTTGTAAGTTTCCTTGTGGCAAGGGCCCAATTCTGAAACCACTAAATCTAATCAGGGCAAATTTAATCTGAGGCTTCTGCCTTCACTGTCACCTGACAGGATTCAGAAATGAAAGTCAACAGCCCAAGAGCAAAAAGTTTTGGACTCAGTTTAGCTGACTTCACTCAGGGACCTAGGACACACAGTTGGAAACCGTGTAAAGACAGACAACACCTTTAGCAAGACCTTAAGACACTTCTGTCAGGAAGAAATATAAAGGTCAGAACAACCTGTTCCCGCCTAACAAAGCCTAACACCTAAGTGGCAAGCCGTCATTTTCAAGAAACTCATTGAAATAAAGAGAAAAGGGAGGCAACGTGGTCAGACTGAGGGCCTCAGAAAGACCCCTACCACAACCAAAGGCTCAAGTTCCTCTTCAATGACACCCTATAAGAATTGCTGGCTACTGTGTACAGTTTATATTGTGTACAACTGTCCTCTCACAATGACACAATGACAACTGATTTCTGATCTCTTTTCAAATAAAAGTTTTCTTTAATGTCCTAAAGGGAAACCTCATCTCTAGTTCCTAATAATTGTTTACCCAACTAACAGTACTGAAGTACCCAACTAATAGTACTATATGGGCATTTCTCTGAGGTAAATAACAAGGATGGGGTTTCTTATAGCTTGTTCTCAACCTTCTCTCATTAATAACTCCCAAGATCTCAATTTTTTTTATGTTACTCTGGCAAATTTCTCCCTAACACAGACACACATATGGATTTTCTGCACAATGAGCAAGTCACATCCTTTCATCAGAATTAAAGATAAAAAGGAAAGTTATTTTGGTTCCCCCAGCTCTTGCCCAGATAGGCAAATTCTGTGGGGGTTTTTGTTGTGCAATTATTCTAACCAGGAAGTCCCCATTAAAAAGGTACTTGATCCGTGACTCCCTATCTTAACCCTGCATAGGTTTTTAGTGGTATTCCTAAACAAATAAACAAACATCTTTGTAGGAGTGTCCCATCTCTATAAAAAGGATTAAATTGGCTGGCTTGAACCAGCTTAGAGAGTCTTTTTCCTTAGAAGTCTGACACAAATCTCAGGATTGAGTCTCCCAGCCACTATTTCCCCTCAACTTAGTACAGGCTAGCCAAAGAGGCAGGCACAACATGGCTGGCATTCCCTATTCTTCTGAAAAATGTGTGCCAATGAGCTCTGCATTGTTCCTCACTCAAAAAGAAGAGCCTTTCTGTCTGGCCTCCTCCAATGGCAAGCCCCAGTCTGGAAAAGGAAGAAAATGGCACTGAGGAGCCTGGGAGATGGAGCCTATCCAAAGCTCTCAGACAAGACTTGAACCTATGACCTTCACTGTGTACACAATAGGCGGGTGAGAGGGACCGGTTTATCTCTGCAGCAGCAGTTCTCAGCCCTGGGGTAGCTCTCCCGATAAAATGACACGACTATTGTGTGTGGCAGCAAAACAGTCATCTCCTCACAACAGCCTAAACCAGCACTCCCTCCCCCAAGACAAAGCAGCAGGGGTGAAATTAACTCAGGGCTGCAGAGCAAAGCCTCATAGAGAAAAGAGAGGCCTGTGGGGGGACTGGGGGCGCTCCTCAACCCCTGGGGCTCTGGACACACGGCTGGAAACAGACAGGCTTTCTCCCCCATCTTTCCCACTCTCATTTAGATAGGAAGCTGTTTCTTAGAGAATTTAATCATCTGTGATTTGTTCAGAAATATTCCCCCTGAAGGGCTCTGATCTCTCCACCCTGTGTGAGCCTAATTCCTAGAAGCTGAAATGACTGTTTGCTGCTGCCTGTTTCACAAACACACATTAATTGGTCAGATGTGTCTCCTCCTCCTCAACCCCAGAGGGAGGAAGGAGAATCTGAGCAAAGCACAGAGATGATCCAACCGTAATTACACATAAAGGGAAAAGAGGGCAGCACGGGTTTTCCAAACAGGACAGGGTCACAAACCCTCCCGGGGGGCACTAGGAGAGCAGTTAAGGCCAGGCCCAGGAATCCCTCCATCTTGAAGAAAAGGACAGGAGGAAATGTGACCTGAAGCCTGGAAGGAGCACACACCCACAGCTTACTTACTGCACACTCCCAGCCACCTTGCTCCCCCCTCCTGGGCCACGCGCACGTCCTGCTCCCAGCCCTTCGCCCTGAACCCCCCTAACTCCCTCACTAGCTCCAGTCGACCCGGGCCCCCTCAAGATACCCAGACTCGCCTCGGGAACTCTCTGGCCTGTCCCCACAACCTGGCCAGACCCTAATCCCCTCTCGAGCACCCCTACCCTCAGCCTAAACCAGCCCTGGCCACGCTTTGAACTTCACCCTGCGCCCCTCGACGCCCCCTCCCCCAACCAGGCAACGACTCGCGATCCGGGACAACCAGGGCCGCCCAGAAGACCCGGACACTGGAGTACCGGGCCCTCGGATCCGGATCCTTGTGCCGTCTGGAGCCGTAGAGCGCAGAGGAAACCCGGAACCTGGATGGAGGAGCCAAATCCTGGGTCTCGGAACGCGCGGTCATACGGAGCCCGGATTAGAGACTCGGAGCCCGGGTTAGAGACTCGGAGCTCTGGGAATGCTGGAAAACCCGGCAAGCCGGTTAAAACAGATATAAACTCGAAGAAGCGTGGATTGGAGAGCTCGAACCTAACGCTCTCTCCTCGTGGAAAGAACTCTCGCTGGACCAGACTTCCTCGCAGAGACGTCTCTGGGGAAGTATCGTACCTTAAAATACGGAAGGCACCAGTTCTGTAGGTGTCTAACCGTTGGGAGAGCAAAGGGTCGCAAAGGGTCTGTCTGAACGTGAACATCACAAAGAACCGAAGAGCCAGCACAGCTCATCGTGGTTTCATCCACTTTATCTCTTGGTTCAGCAAAGTAGCAACCCCTAATTTATCCTTTGTTCTCCAATTTCTTGTTTAGGATTACCACAAGTTTTCCTCTTCAAAGCACCCATTTCTAATCCTTCTAATATCACCTTTCACCTTGCCACCCCGTTATCACCACATCTTGGTTTTTATTATCTCTAAGTCCTACTTTGTCCTTTTCCAACACACCATTCTATTTCTAACGACTTTAGCTTTTATCTGCCATTCGTCTGATTGCCCAGCACACTTTCTAGTAGGCATTCAGCTCTTCTTTAAGTGAACCCTCCCACCTACCTCTCACTCAGGAAACACATAATACTCTTCACCACCTCTTCCCTAAAATGTCCACTCCGTTTTGTAGCAAGAAGAAACTTATCTTAATTCTCAAGTCTTAGCCTCAATTATGTCCTTCCTGTGTCCTTGCCGTCTTAGTCAGCTCTGCGGTTTTGGTTGCACTCTCCAGCACTTGGAATCTTACTTCCCTGAGAAGTGATCAAATCCGTGTCCCCTGTGGTGGAAGCTTGAAGTCCTAACCATTGGACCCCAGGAAGTCCCAGCTCTGCAGTTTTTATCTTTCCCTTACCCTGAGGCATCCATCAACAGTACCACTCTAGATAGCATGTGATTTGGGGATAAAGGCAGATCATAAAACCCCTTTGCTCTCCATTTCCACATATGCATGCAAAAAGTGTATGTGTGTGTGTCAGGGGGTAATGGCTAAAGATGAACACTAAGCTGCTCTGGCCTAGGAAAAATAATCTCCCCTTGATCCACCCATATTCAGCTTGTTCTAGGACAGTACAAGAACAAAACTGACTCCAGGTGATGATTTTACAAGTGAGGATTCAGCTACTTGCAGGTAGACAAAGAGAAGGGTTAGATTTGAGACAGGTATGACTTAAGAGTTAACACTAAAGTGGCATCTCCTTCTGAAGAGCACGACTACCACCGGAAAACACTGAATTGCAAAAATGGGGAACAAAGGAAAGCAAACATTCCTACAGTGAATTTTTAGAGAAATTTCTCAAGCTTAGAAGTATCATTAAAAATTTTCAAGCAATTGAGGTCCTATACAGTAAAAGAATCTTCAGTTTTGACTCCTTGTTCCTTTAGACCAGGGTTTGGCAAAATAAGGCCCACAGGTCAAATCTGGGCAATACCTGTTTTGGTATGTCCCATAAATTAAGAATGGTTTTTACATTTCTAGATGGCTGAAAAATAACCAGAAGACTATTTTGTGACGTGAAAATTATATTAATATGTTATTCAAATTTCAGTGTTCATAAATAAAGTTTTAGCAGGCTCATAAGCCATGCTCATTCACCTATGTATTATCTATGGATTCATTTCACTTGCACTGTAATAGCAAAGTTGAATAGTTGTAACAAGGACTGTATAACCTGGGAAGCCTAAAATACTTGCTGTCTGGCCCTTTACAGAGAAAGTGTGCTGACCTCTACTCCAAACAAGGACTGTCTAATAGAACTTTTGGCAATGATGGAATTATTCTATACTTGTGCTGCCCAATTCAGAAGTCATTAGCTACATGTAGCTATGTGAACACTTGAAATACGGTACTGTGACTGAAGAACTGAATTCTTAATTTCACTTAAATAATCACATGTAGCTATTATATTAGACAGTACAGCTCGAGATGCTTCTCAGATCTTCCGTACTGACATTTTTTACCCCTTGATCCAACCTCTCACTCCCTTCTTGTGACACATCTACACATTCTCAGTCACCATCTCCACCTCACCTATCTACCAGACTCCGAGTCAAGGTACAATATTTCCTAGGTTTTTGTCCTAGACTCTGCATTGTCACAACAGAAATCTGATCAGTCTATGACGTTTCACCCCATGAATTAATCCACATTATGTGTACCAACATAAATGGACGCACATTTACACAAGTTTCTTTGTGTGAGAGGGTGGCACTGTGGCCGTGTTCTTTCTTCTCTGCCTGAAAGAAGTAGAAAGCCCTCCACATGCTAGATCCCTTGATGCTGCTGGAGCCTGTGATATGGATCACCTCCCTCCAAACACATTCACAGAAGCTGACAACAGCAGATGTGCACTTGCTATTTGAATCTCAAGGAAAAAAAAAAAACCTTCACCACAGGACTTTCTTTCCTCCCCCCAGGCCTAATAAACTGAAGTTAGCTGATTTCTCTAGTTTAATAGATACTTGCTTTTTTACTGGCCTTTTCTAACTGGGCAAGAGAACAACCCCAATACTGTCTCAGTCTTGGCTAGGAGCTCTAGCAAAGGCATTAAAAAAAAAACACACAAAAAAAAACTTACCAAATGAACCAAATGAAATGAAATCCACATAAACGGGCTTTAGTAGAGACAGTAGTTAAAATGCGAAGAGATTAGGGGTTATAACTCATAAAAACCATAACTTTATAATTATTTATAAAAGCTATCTTTAAAGTCTGAAATTTTTACACCTACTCCCTAAGGAAAAAATGGGCTTCTGTAAACTTCCGGCTTTAAAAAAAAAGAAGGGAGGACACCTAGTTTTCTTTCTCCATATTAGTTATAGCAAGCAACCCCCCCCCCCACCAACCCCACCCCCCACTCCATTCTAAACATCTGTCTGCATGGCCAAAGCCTTCTAAATCCTGACAGAGCAAAGTCTCCAGTTTTATATATATCCTACTTTGAGCTTATATAATTGAGACTGTGTCCTGCCTAGAAAAACAAAAACAAAAAAGCTGAATCCTTTAGCAACTGTACAAACTGACAGCCATTGAACCCAACCATCCAAGAGAGTAAGATCTTTAACCTGTAGAGGAAAACCAGCTCAGAAATGTGGACCTTCCCTCAGGCCAAACTGTTCCAGAGTAACAGGGTCAGTGCAAAGTGTTGTAAAGTACGGACAGGCTATTCCTGGGCGAGTTTGTACTCGGGCTGCTAAGAATTTCCACCAGACTTTAAATTATGCTATTCATCACTGAGCAACTGAGGGCCATCTACCCCAAGTCTCTCCCACACTTCCTCCCGGGTGTCTCCACAAATAAAAGAGAGACCTTATACCACTACCATGTGAACTGAAGGGAGGCTTTCACAGGCTGACCATGAAAAGGAGAAGTTTCCAAGTTACTCCGCCGTTTACTCATGTGGCTCCAGCTGCGTATTCTGGATGCTGAGGTTGGGTTCTCATAAACTTGTGAAGTTCTTGTAAACTTTCTTATCACAGCACACAAAATGGTTGCATAACCTGAACTCTTGCATCTCCTGATGTTTTTCTTTAGGCATGCACACACAATCTATCCAGGTGGAAAAAATCAAGCAATACTCCTCTGTGTTCAGGCTGTCATTCAAATAAAAAGGCATAAAGAGAAACTTTATTTTTGCTCCCTGGCTCTTCACTTTCTGCCTTTCAATTTTATTTTGGTATTAAAACAAACAAACAAACAAACAAACAAAAAACCAGACAATTCCAGCACAGAATTCAAGTTGTTACTGCTTGGTAAACTAGTAACTGCATAGTGAACCTGGTGTGGCTTTATTAATGGTACTAGGGTTGGTAGAAGGCCAGAGAGAGGCTTTTTTCCCTCTAAAAAAAGTGCCATTAGTGTCCTTTCCACTTTCTCTACACAAATTGAACAGAAAAAAAAAAAAAAAAGAATACAGCATGTCTGCATCACCAGAACAAGAATCTGGTGGGTTTTCCCTGGGAATCCAGGGTGATCAGTCCCCCACAAAACCAATGCCCAGAGCCATGCAACAAGAAGGGTTCACAGTTGAGTGAACATCAATGCATAAGTGGAGGAATTTCAATGCAAATAAATGCTGAATATGAAGGATTAAAGAAAGGGGAAATTAATCTTTTTCATAACACAGGGCACTTTTTTTTCTCTCCCTTGTGCTCTCTTTTTTAAGTCATGCACACAACTGCTGGAGGGAATCCAACTTCCCCAGTGTGGTAGTGCTGCTTTATAAAAAGCAGAACATACACATTTAAGACCATGAATTTCCTGAGGATGCCAGCAACTGAGATTCTGACAGCTCTTCTGAACAGCCTCAGAAAAAAAAAAAAGTACTTCACTAAGTGGGACCAGAATGACTAGTAAAAAGTCTCATTTCAAACCAACCTAGTTTTTCAAAACTCATAGCTTCCTGGGGTGTGGATGCCTTAAAGGGTTTGGTTTCAGCATTTTGGGGTTATCTAGATGCATTTACAGAACGGATTTTATTTTTGTTTGTTTCTAACTGCTCCATCCAAATGATACTCTTGCAATACCAACAAAATAAATAGCGCCATTTCATGCTGCTTTAGCGGGTGGCTCCATCTCATCCCAGCTTGATCCTCTCATGTCCTAATGTCTCAAACCAAAGAACAAAGTGGCAGCGCCTCTTCAGGTTATACCCCCACCCCAGCCCCACCCGCCCCCCCAAAACCTGCCAACGAAGTACTCAGTTTTTGAAAACTATTCACTTGAGATGCTGGATTACAGCAGCAAACCTGTTACATCTGGAGACTTTTTGTTCCCATCACTTGTCTGTATTAAACACAGAATTCCTCAAACATCCTAACACCCCACCAAGCTATCACTTTGGGGGGGGAAAAACTTTAAAATTCAAGTGGTTGCTTAAAATATTGTTAACCTAG